TAATCCCCGGTCTAGATGCTCCTACCAATCTCTCCCTTGAACCTGTATCTCCCTTCTCAACCCCCTTCTTTGCGCACTGTCACATGATGTCAGTGTCACCACGTGGGCACGTTCGAGGTCGTCCTTATATTGAGTGTATTGTGAAGATGCGTAGATCTTGACAAGATGCCTTCATTCCTGGAGAGAAAAAAAATAATTGCACCAATACATTCCATCCAAAAGTGAGATTGTTCAATTTGGCAAGCACGAATGACTCACATTTTAACCATAACTGTTTATTAATGTGTCTAAAAATGTTTAATTGATGGTTAAAGTATTTGACCCATTGTCAAATGCATTGTTAAATGATTTAACAATTTTAAAACAATTTTTTTTATGTGAACTGTTTGTGAACCCGTTTTTTTGCCATTGGGCGTGGCCATCAGACTCCAGAGCCATTTATTGCAGAGTTACTGTATATTAATGAGGTGGTCGGTTTTCAATTGGCTAACACTAATCACATGGTTCAATTGGCTAACACTAATCACATGGTTCAATTGGCTAACACTAATCACATGGTTTGTGCAGGCTGAAAAATGGTGTGGTCTGAGCTATCAGGAGTCCTTGGGACATTTAACATGGTTAAAGATAAGGGTTAAGGTTCGGGTTAGGTAAGGGTTATGGTTAAGGTTAGGGTTAGGTAAGGGTTATGGTTAAGGTTAGGGTGGGGGTTAAAGATAAGGGTTAAGGTTCGGGTTAGGTAAGGGTTATGGTTAAGGTTAGGGTGGGGGTTAAAGATAAGGGTTAAGGTTCGGGTTAGGTAAGGGTTATGGTTAAGGTTAGGGTAGGGGTTAAAGATAAGGGTTAAGGTTCGGGTTAGGTAAGGGTTATGGTTAAGGTTAGGGTAGGGGTTAAAGATAAGGGTTAAGGTTCGGGTTAGGTAAGGGTTATGGTTAAGGTTAGGGTAGGGGTTAAAAATAAGGGTTAAGGTTCGGGTTAGGTAAGGGTTATGGTTAAGGTTAGGGTTAGGTAAGGGTTATGGTTAAGGTTAGGGTAGGATAAGGGGTTTAACAATAGGGTTAGGTTCGGGTTAGGTAAGGGTTATGGTTAAGTTAGGGTAGGTAAGGGTTATGGTTTAAGGTTCAGGTGTAGGGGTTAAAGATAAGGGTAAGGTTCGGTGTATCGGTAAGGGTTATGGTTAAGGTTAGGGTTAGGTAAGGGTTATGGTTAAGGTTAGGGTAGGGGTTAAAGATAAGGGTTAAGGTTTTGGGTAAGGATGTCCAAAGGAATCCGGATAGCACTGAGCAATATGGTGTGTTGGGATGCTATCGGAAACGTTTACATTCGTCACAAGCATGGTAGCAAGCATTCGTTGTTACACCTCTGTAATTACAAACATATTGTTGTTACAGTGTAACTATGAATTATTACAATTAATTACAATACCTGTTACAGTGTAATAAGGACCCCTTAAAATGAAGTGCTACCATAAATTCTACCCTTTTCCTCCACAACATGTACGTACGTACTCAATGTCATAACATTCTAAAGATGAGGAATTTAACATGACCATTGACGTAGACGGCGAGGAATATCTTCATGTAGATTTAAACCAAAAAATAAAAACAGAATTTGCAAACCAGGTAGATTGTCCAGTGTGCGTGGCATTTGCAAGCGCACAAGCAAAAAAATGGCTAATTTAAATAAATAAAATATCAGGGTTTACACAGACAACAAAACAAAATGCACCACACAGACAGAGTACAAGAAGTTAAGTAAAAATATTACAAAAAAGGAGCAGTCATAAAATAAAAAGATAGCAATATAAATATTTATCATTGTCACAGTTGTAAATATGTATATATATATATATATATATATATATATATATATATATATATATGTTTTATTGTTTCATTCACACCTGCACTGTTGGAGCTCGGAGCTTAAGTATTTCACTGTATACCGCAACTACATCTGTGACCCTGTGCATGTGACTAAATAACAATCTAATCTAATTAATGGTGACCAGGTTTTCCAGAACTTTTCAGTCCTCTGGCGCAGGTCAAAAGTGAGTTTTTCTAAGGGTAAAATAGCTGAAGCCTGAGAAAGCCACGTCCTAGCAGACGTTATTTCAGGTGCGGACCACAAAAACAGATTACATTTTTACACTTTTTTGTACTTAACAGACAAGAACAGTAGATTTGGTGAAAGAGCAAAATTGTCTAAGATCTTCTAAATGTGTAAATGAACCTCATTCCAATGAGACTGGATTCTGTTGCCAAAATACATGCAGAAAGGTGCCAGTATCTTGTTGACATTTGAAACATAAATGTGATGCACTGGTAAACATTCTGTTAAGGCGAACTGGTTCTATGAAAGATTTTAAAATGGGAGTTATTGTACGCTTATAGAGTTACATCGGAGTAGACCCTTTCACAGATAGCGGTCCAGTCTTCGTCACCAAATGGAATCCCAATGTCTCCCTCCCAAATATGTCTAAATGCGTCATAGGATGAGGCACTTCTGCTTGATAAATAGAATATAAGTCAGAGATTAGACCCCTCTGAGCAGTAGGATTCGTAAATAATTGTTCAACCTCAGTAATTTGAAAACGTCGTTTACCCACTTTCTTCTGGCCCTCTACAAAATATCTGAATTGGAGATACTTGAAAAAAAAAATCCTTATTGGGTATATCAATCTTTATCTGTTGGAACGACTTTAGAGTATCCTGAATAAAAAAAAGTTGTAAGATCAGAAATTCCCTTCGTCTTCCAATGGAGGAGTCCAATGCTCCTTATTTGTGGGGGGGGGGGGGGGGGGAATCAGGGTTATGATGCCATCTATTTGCACCAGTCCCTCCTGCAGCAAAGCACCCCCACAGCATGATGCTGCCACCCCGTGCTTTACGATGATGCTGCCACCCCCGTGCTTTACGGTTGGGATGGTGTTCCTCGGCTTGCAAGCTTCCCCCTTTTTCCTCCAAACATAACGATGGTCATTATGGCCAAACAGTTCTATTTTTGTTTCATCAGACCAGAGGACATTTCTCCAAAATGTACGATCTTTGTCCCCATGTGCAGTTGCAAACCGTAGTCTTGCTTTTTTATGGCTGTTTTGGAGCAGTGGCTTCTTCCTTGCTGAGCGGCCTTTCAGGTTATGCCGATATAGGACTCGTTTTACTGTGGATATAGATACGTTTGTACCGGTTTCCTCCAGCATCTTCACAAGGTCCTTTGCTGTTGTTCTGGGATTGATTTGCACTTTTTGCACCAAAGCACGTTTATCTCTAGGAGACAGAACGCATCTCCTTCCTGAGCGGTATGACGGCTGCGTGGTCCCATTGTGTTTATACTTGCGTACTATTGTTTGTACAGATGAAAGTGGGACCTTCAGGCGTTTGGAAATTGCTCCCACAGATGAGCCAGACTTGTGGAGGTCTACAATTTATTTTCTGAGGTCTTGGCTGATTTCTTTTGATTTTCCCATGATGTCAAGCAAATATCAAATCAAATCAAATCAAATTTTATTGGTCACATGCGCTGAATACAACAGGTGCAGACATTACAGTGAAATGCTTACTTACAGCCCTTAACCAACAGTGCATTTATTTTTAACAAAAAAAGTAAAAATAAAACAACAACAAAAAAAGTGTTGAGAAAAAAAGAGCAGAAGTAAAATAAAATAACAGTAGGGAGGCTATATATACAGGGGGGTACCGGTGCAGAGTCAATGTGCGGGGGCACCGGCTAGTTGAGGCACTGAGTTTGAAGGTAGGCCTTGAAATACATCCACAGGTGCACCTCCAATTGACTCAAATTATGTCAATTAGCCTATCAGAAGCTTCTAAAGCCATGACATCATTTTCTGGAATTGTCCATGCTGTTTAAAGGCACAGTCAATTTAGTGTATGTAAACTTCTGACCCACTGGAATTGTGATACAGTGAATTATAAGTGAAATAATCTGTCCGTAAACAATTGTTGGAAAAATTACTTGTGTCATGCACAAAGTAGATGTCCTAACCAACTTGCCAAAACTATAGTTTGTTAACAAAAAATGTGTGGAGTGGTTGAAAAACGAGTTTTAATGACTCCAACCTAAGTGTATGTAAACCTTCGACTTGATTTGCAATGCTTGCAGTTAGTCACTGATTCCTTCCAAACCAATCATTGTTGAATTTGCGATATCCAACTTGTTGTGTAATGTCCAATGTCCGATTAGCACCGATACGTTTTATCTATAATTTCTCTTCATATGACAAGGATTGAAAAGGATTTGTCAGTAGATTGTCGACTTCATTCATGATGATGACTGCAAGGTTGCTAGCTAAGATTATGAAAGTATGATGTTGACATGATCAGTCCAATCAAAGCTACGGTAGATATAATGTGATTTGACTCTGTATTTTCCGCTGGCTGCCCCACCGCCACAGAATGCACTGAACTAGGCTGAAACACCTGCATTTTGGAGCTGCCTTACTCAAGAAAGCAAAAAAGAGACCATGTTTGTATGCGACTTTATTAACTAAATGATGTTTTTTTTTCTTTGTTTGCAAAACATTTTTTTTTTTTTTTTAGCTAAATAGGTGGGGCTCTGCCCTGAATGACGGGTCGCCACTGTTTCTACATTGCGCGTCCCCAAAAGTGATTTATCATTCAATTTGTTCATGCTTTGTGGTCCTTAGTGGTCCTCTGTAGCTCAGCTGGTAGAGCATGGCGCTTGTAACGCCAGGGTAGTGGGTTCGATCCCCGGGACCACCCATACGTAAAAATATATGCACACATGACTGTAAGTCGCTTTGGATAAAAGCGTCTGCTAAATGGCATATTATTATTATTATAATTATCGTTCAACCTTTATTTAAACAAGCGTTCTCACCAGCCAATCAGATCTCTGCTCACCCATCCCCCTCGCCTCTGATTGGACACTATTCCTACGTAAGAAACTCGCCTTCTAGCTTGCAGAAATTCACCTTTCGGACTTGAGATCTTTGGTTCAGGCAAGTAGGACTTGTAGAGATGGCACTGAAGGCTGTTTGCGTGCTAAAAGGAACCGGTGAAGTTACCGGGACCGTATTCTTTGAGCAACAGGTAAAATATTTATTTAAAAAGGAAAAATACATGCTTGCTTTTTTTTTTTGGCCACGGCAAATCACATGCATGCACTTTGAGACGCAGTCTGTGCAGATGGGCCTCGTCCAAATAGCTAGCAACTTGGCTATCTTAGCTAGCTAACTAACGTTACTTGTCAAAACCCTTTCAGATACCTTATGCAACAGTTGAGTTAGCGTTACTTAGCTCGCTAGCTGGTTATTTTGCCCTGGCGAAGTGTAACGTTAGATAGCTATCTATCTTTTGTATCTGCCTTGTAAGGCCAGTTTCATTCCGAGTTCAGTCATGTCATGCAAACGATTTACTTGATAGCCTGCTGACGTTAGCTACTGTAGCCATAGGAACATGTGTGACAACCTTTGCTACCGGTCGGCTCGAAACCTGTAGTTGCACTTTTAAGCCCTCGATGTAAATTATCTACTCAATTTTAGTTAGATACTGTAGCTATAGCTAGTATTTTGTAAACAGGGGGGAAATTATGTGCGTTAAATGCTAGCTAGTTCTGCCTGTTACACATTTTTAACGTTAACTAGGAAGTTTGGGGGGTGCCTAGCTTAACTATCAAACTAACCTTAGCTAGTTGACGTTACGTGTAACAGATGAATAAGTGACGACATTTTTTTTTTTTTTTGCTGAGTCATTCTAGCCTGTGTGCCAGTCCGTTTGTGCTCTCTGAGAACACACAGAGATCTGGCACCAGGCTGGAGTCGTTCTGCTTTGGCCCCCATTTTCCCTTGAACCTGGTCTGGTGTGTGGTAACCTAACTGTCGTGCCAAATTTGCACGAAGAAGGCGTGTGGTCGTTGGGGCCACCAAACTAACAGTTGTAGCTAGCAAGTTGACCGTTGATCCCCCTCCATTTCAAAAGTAGCCCAAACAGCTAGCTTGTTATGGCTAGGTGCTATGCTAGCCTCAGTGTCTGTTTTTGTGCTGTCATGCCGAATACTAATACTTAAATAGAGAGTAACACATGGCTCATTGATGTGTTAATTCTGTTTTTTTCCCCAACCCCTGACACATCATTTTGACAGCTAATTTTACATCATGTGGTGTTTTGATCTGTGTTTTCAACGTGTGTGCTCTCCCCTCATGCCTATGTTCTGCAGAGTGCCAATGATTCAGCAAAGCTCAGAGATAACAGGGCTTGGCGATATGGACAATATCATATCGCAATATTTGTTTACATTTTTGATGGTGTTTTACTTATGTTTTTGAATAATAGTTCTAAATATGCTTTACGAGTAGTTCATGACCCTAGAGTGGCAACACAAATTACAAGTCATTTCCACGGGGCGTTCTCTCAATTGGTAGAGCATGGCGCTTGTAACGCCAGGGTAGTGGGTTCGATCCCCGGGACCACCCATACGTAAAAATATATGCACACATGACTGTAAGTCGCTTTGGATAAAAGCGTCTGCTAAATGGCATATTATTATACTGTTCAATCCAATTTCAAACAAATCATTTTCTGCATTTTCATCCATTTCTGTATTTCCTGTACTTTTTATTATTATTTTCACTGTGTGCCACTCAGCATGAAACTGGCGAAAAAAATATAGTCCTAGGAAATTGGTGAACTTGGAATTATGGAAATATAATGATTATTCTAATTCTATAGTTGGAATATAGTGGGCAGCACCTTGAATACATAGTTTTTTGACATGACAACAAATTAATAAACAAGGGAGGAATTATTGACAGGGTAGGAACTAAAGTGTTGGGCAGTGTTTCCAGGTGTCCCTAATTAGACGGAACAAAAGTATAAACGCAACATGTAAAGTGTTGGTCCCATGTTTAATATGCATGAAAAGCTTCTCTCAAATTGTGCACATTTGTTTACATCCCTGTTAGTGTCCATTTCTCATTTTCCAAGATAATCCATTCACCTGACAGGCGTGGCATATCAAGAAGCATGATCATTACACAGGTGCACCTTGTGCTGGGGACAATAAAAGGCCACTCTAAAACGTGCAGTTTTGTCACACAACACTGCCACAGATGTCTCAAGATTTGAGGGAGCGTGCAATTGGCATGCTGACTGCAGGAATGTTCACCAGAGCTGTTGCCAGAGAAGTGAATGGTCATTTCTCTACCATAAGCCAGCTCCAACAGCGTTTTAGAGAATTTGTCAGTACGTCCAACCGGCCTCACAACTGCAGACCATGTGTATGTTGTTGTGAACATAGTGCCTCATGGAGGTATGGGCAGACATAAGCTACGGACAATGAACACAATTGCATTTTATCGATGGCAATTTGAATGAACAAAAATACGGTGACCAGATCCTGATGCCCATTGTGAGGCCCATTTTTAAAATTTTTTTTTTAAGGTATCTGTGACCAACAGATGCATGTCATGTGAAATCCATAGATTAAGGCATAATGAATTTATTTCAATTTCCTCACTTCCTCATATGAACTGTAACTCTGTGAAATCAATGAAATTGTTGTATGTTGCGTTTTATAATTTGGTTCAGTATAGATGTTAATTACATGTATTTTTTTACTTAATCTAGCTAGCTAGCCAACTGTCACGCTTCTCCTATTAAATACCGTTGCACAAACATACTTACCTAGGCCTACCCTAACACTGGTACCAGTATTGGCTAGCTAGCTACGTTTGCTCTGGCTATCAGTAAATTTAGCAAGCTAGCTAGCCAGCTAATTAGCATTAGCGGCTAACAAATTATTTTAGCAACACCTTGCTAAGGAAAGAAACTAGCAGATAGTCGTTAAACAAATGGTGTGTAGAACGCTTGTGGAAAGCAGCATGTCACCAAGATTGTTGCAGCCATCTGACCATGCTGAGTGAACGGCAAGAAAGTGCTCGTGACTCCTTGGTCGAGCAACTGCTCTGTCCTTGAGGGGCAGGCAGGGCTTGGTGTGGTTAGCGGCATGCAGTAGCAGAAGGAAAGGGGGGGCGAGACGACTAAAGTAGCAGATGGCGTAATCTATAAAAACGGACATTATGCGCATCACATTTTAACAAACCAAACATTGAAATACTGTTATAGAAGGTAAAGTAAAAACTCAAACCGGTCCGTCCGTCAATACCGGTGTATATAGTAAAATACGGTATAACGCCCAGCCCGTGTTTGTTTGTTTGTTTCGGCTGTACAGGCCTATAACTCGTGTCTGTCTGTAGGGTGAAAATGCTCCAGTGACGCTGACAGGAGAGATCTCGGGTCTGGCCCCGGGGGAACACGGCTTCCACGTCCACGCTTTCGGAGACAACACCAACGGCTGTATGAGCGCCGGACCCCACTTCAACCCCCACAACAAGACCCACGGAGGACCCGATGACGAAATCCGGTTAGTCTGGCCCCATGACTGAAAGAGTTACGCCTGCTAGACCAGGAGTTTTCAGACCTCTCCTCGGATATTCCCAGACGTTCCATGTACATAGGTCAGGGAGACAACACAATTGTGAAATGTCTGTGGGTCCCCCGGGGAGAGTTTTGAAAACCATTGTGCTAGATGGCAACACTAGAAATGACCTTGTACAGTTGTACTGTTCAACAGACCGTTATACAAAGAACCATCAGACTTTATTAGTATGGTTATGATCAAGCACATTTTAGAATTTTGATCTCAACTAAGTTAACGTATTGAACCGTACCATAGCATGTATAACTCTCGTCAGTCTTTAAAAAAAAAAAAATACTTATCGTAGACTATGGGAGAATCTCCATGTCCTTGATTTTTCACGCCTTCTCATCCCCTTAAAACCCATTGATGTTCTGACCTTCTCATCCCCTTAAAACACATTGATGTTCTGACCTTCTCATGTTCTGACCTTCTCATCCCCCTTAAAACCCATTGGTGTTCTGACCTTCTCATCCCCTTAAAACACATTGATGTTCTGACCTTCTCATGTTCTGACCTTCTCATCCCCCTCAAAACCCATTGATGTTCTGACCTTCTCATCCCCCTTAAAACCCATTGGTGTTCTGACCTTCTCATCCCCTTAAAACCCATTGATGTTCTGACCTTCTCATCCAATGTTTTTTGATAAGGTGGCGAGGACGCAAGGAATCTAGTGATGGGGGGTTCGAAGGTCGATAGTTACATATCGGGATATTATTTTTGGCGATTATATCGTTTTGACAATATCCCAATATTATTTTTGTGCTAGTTGGCTGTACCTGCACCAGAACTCCAGTATTTTCCCCTCCATAGCGTGTTCTCCATCCTTTTTATATAGGGGAAACCATTTGTTTTCAACACTTGTTTATTCCAATGACCTGATCAGCATTTTGTTTCCGTGGCTCCCTCGTCCCTCACCAGGGCTGCCTAACCCTCTTTCCTGGAGATCTACTGTCCTGTAGGTTTTCAGTCCAACCCTAATTTAGCATATCTGATTCAGCTGGTTAAGATCTTGTTGAGCAGCTAATAAGTAGAATCAGATATGCTAAATTAGGGTTGGACTAAAAAAACCTACAGGACAGATCTCCAGGAAGAGGGTTGGGCAACCATGGTGTAGACGGTATAGCGAAATGGTTACTTGCAATATCAAAAATAGATAAGTGTCAATATAAAGGGGGGGAAAAAAGAACAAGTCTCAATGCCAGTAGAGAAAGAACAAAATGAATATACAGTATGTACAAGAACAATATCAATAACGTGATATTGGTGATAGATGAGGTAGTTATATGCATACAGTCAGGGGTAAAGTGGCTGAACAGCAGGATAGAGAAAAAATAGTAGCAGCAACGTATGGCGTGTGTGTGTTAGGAGAGAGTCATGTGAATGTCCATAGAGGCACTGCAGATAGTGCTGATGACTGGGAACTCACCCCGAGTGATGAACTGGTCCGTCCAAACCACGCGTGAACAAGGGACCTATATTCGGGGGAGCCTGTTTCTGTCCTGCCCTTGACTTTGGTGCAGGTCATGTGATGTCCATAGCCTCTTCGTCGCAAAACTTCCTGATCTTCTCAAAAATATACGTTTTGACTAGCTGTGTCCAGTCCAGGTGGTGCTTGTACAGGCAGACCATCTATGGGAGGAAGGATGTCAGCGTTGGTGACACCAACACCAGGCTGCCCGAGCATCGAAGCTGTAAAACAGGAAATGACAAAACAAACTGAGAAGACATTACAACCTCGCATAACATCAATTCACCTCCCAAGTTCAGATAAGAAGAATAACCTCATGCACTGAAAATGATATTCACCTGAAGTGCTGGTACTGCTTGATCTGTGGCAGCGGCCTGAAGTACGGGGTCAGGCTGGCAACAAAACCTTTAGCTTTCCACCAGCACCGTACCATCCTCCAGTCCAACCAGCTGTGGGATGTTGACCCCTGTCACAGTGCTGTCCTTCACCACACCAGCAATCTCGGACAAAGTGTTCACTCTGGTCTTTCTGAAGCGCTGCTTGATGAGGCCGAAGCACCAGTTGGGGGGGCAAACTTGGTGTGGCCTGTGATCAGGAAGTGAAGGTCCCAATCAAAACGTGTTGTTTATGCTTTACATACCAAGTGTTGTCATCGATTCCTTGTAGAGACGCTACACCGCTGCTTTTGTCACATGAGATGGCAGCAGCTTTCCACCAAAGTGTTTGTGTCCTGGGTGGCGTCCTGGTAATACTATTGCATTAACCTCTGCGTGGTTGTTGATGAAGTTCACAACTCGCTGCAAGTCCTCAAGCTTCAGGTGTAACCTGTGCTTGTTTGGGCCATCTCTCTTTTTAATGGGAGGCATTAGACCGTTCTCCTTGTATGACTGGTGGAGGAGAGTCAGGCGTGTTCTACTGATACTGAAAGACAAATTCCAGATGCAAATATTGTAGCATTATTATACAATAGATGTCTTTTAATCACCGTCAGACACACCTGGCTAATTGATGGGTCATGTAATCATCTGGCAAAGTGGAGTCTTTTGTTTAGACATGTAGCTAGCTAAAGAATGTACCATAATTCCAATCCATAGAGTGCTAGCAATACAAACCGATTTGTCATAGCTAGCTAAAGTTAACCAAATAGTTTCAATGTTAGCTAGCTAACATTAGGCTATAACTAGCAATGCAAATGGCTTTGAGATAATATTACTACACAGATCATACACGTAATGTTAGCTAGAGAGCCAGCCATCTAACGTTAGCTAGCTAACAGTAAGCTTTAACTTGCAATGAAAACAACTTTCTGACAAAATTAGAAACGTATAATATCTGAAACTGTAGCTAGACTCTTACCCGTATACATGGATGAACGCTTCACTACAGATTCCAACCCCTTTCATTAGATGAGACGTCCTGTGCCGTTTCCGTTTTTGTTTGTTCAACTTGCTTGGCCACTCTGGTTCACACTGACCGTGTGCAATGCCATAAGAATCGTCCTCCTGAAAGTAGTCCATTAACTTTTTCCCACTGACCTTTTGTCTATAGCGCCTGATCAATTCAGGGCAGCAATGTTATTGCTGTTGCAACATATTTGCAGTTCTCCATGGCTAACGTTATATATTTTAAACTGCAGTAGAAAGGATTACACATAACGAGCGGCTCATTTTATAAACAGAAGCTGCTACACGGCAGACCAATCCGAAACTCATCTCTCGGCATGTCCAGCCCATTCATTATCTCAGCCAATCATGGCTAGCAGAAAGGTTCTTCTCCTTTTCTGTGGCTAAACCAACTAGATAATCGTATTTACAGTTGACATACATGCTATTAAGGCACATGAAAGTTCAAATGTTCCAGGAGGCATTTCTGCCAAAAAAGGCATTTTGTTAAAAAAATCTAAATAAACGTTCAAATGCCTCTCCTGTGAAGTCGTGACTTACGATGTACGCCTAGTTTCCTGAAACGAGTCACGTATGGTGAGCAATATGTTTGGAATATTGAATTGCATTAAAATCACTATCGAATCGCAATACATATCGTATCGGCACCTAAATTATGGTGATAATATTGTATCGCGAGGTCCCTGGCAATTCATAGGAATCAAATAAATGAAATTATTCTCTGAGTCTGTTCTTATCACATTCCTCGCTGCCTCTCGCATCACATGTAGGCATCAAGCAACTGTCCTTATGTTGTCTGTCTGTTGGCTTGACCAGCTGATGTCCAGCAGAACCGTTGGCTTGACCAGCTGATGTCCAGCAGAACCGTCCTGGTGGAGAGGTTGCATGGTGGAACCTTTTTAATGATTGGCTCTAGGGCTTAATCCCCATAAATAGCAGTGCATTCGGAAAGTATTCAGACCCCTTGACTTTTTCCACATTTTATGTTAGTCCTCATCAATCTACACACAATACCCCATAATGACAAAGCAAAAAGTCATTTTTTAAATTTTTGTTGCACATTTATAAAAAAAAAAGAAGAAAAACTCACTTATGTTAGCATTCAGACCCTTTACTTAGTACTTTGTCGAAGCACTTTTTGGCAGCGATTACAGCCTCAAGTCTTCTTGGGTATGACGCTACAAGCATGGCACACCTGTATTTGGGGACCAGAACAGCAGAAAAGTTTAGCCTCACGATTTACATCGCTAACTCTACCTTTTTTAAATGCTATGTTGACTCTTATTGAGTAGATCTGTGATGGAATCAAATGAGATCTACACATGCAGTGATAAAGAGGTTTTAGAAATGTCAACCACCTACTCTTGGCTCTCACCATTGTTTTGTTACGGTGTGCACATTGGGGGTAAACTATTCTAAAGCTGTACCCTTTCCTCTGACATCATATCCTGTCTGTGTTGCTAGGCACGTAGGGGACCTTGGCAACGTGACTGCAGGAGCTGACAACGTGGCTAAGATCAACATCTCTGACAAGATGCTGACTCTCACTGGACCTTACTCTATCATTGGCAGGACCATGGTGGTAAGAACAGTTGTCTCGTTATCTGACCTACATTGGTGGTGTTCAATAGGAATAAAATGCTCAAACTGAGTTTTCTAAATAAAGTTTTCACCCTCATCTCCCCTCTTGCTCTCTTTCACTCTTGCGCTCGCTCTGTCCTCTCTGTTCTCTCTCTGCTCTCTCTCTGTCCTCGCGCTCTCTCTCTCTGTCCTCGCGGTCTCTCTCTCTCTGTCCTCGCTCTCTCTCTCCTGTCTCTGTCTCTCTGTCTCTGTACTACCCCCCCCCCCCCCTTTTATCATTAGATCCATGAGAAGGCTGATGATCTGGGAAAAGGAGACAACGAGGAGAGTCTGAAGACGGGCAACGCTGGCGGTCGCCAGGCCTGCGGAGTTATTGGCATTACCCAGTAAACACACACACCCTTACCGGGAGCACTGGAACCACTAGCCACTGCTTGAAGACCAGCGTAGCTACGCCGAACCCATAGAAGACTCTGTAAAATATATATATGTAACCCCACATCTACCCTTAGCCCTTACCTAGACCTCTATGGCACCTCACGTAGATCTGACAGAATTTGGGGTGTGTCCTTAATGGCCACCTATCGTTTATATAGTGCACTACTTTTGAATAGGGCCCATAGGACTCTGGTCAAGAGTAGTGCACTATATTACATGGGATAGGGCGCCGTATGGGGGACGGAGACCCCTGGGTTCTCAGGGCTTTGACTCGGGACGTTGGAGACGGCGTGTGTGCGGCCCAAATGACACCCTATTTAGACCAGAGCCCTACGGCAGGTACAGACAATATGCTAGGAGCTTCCCCCTCCGATAGGCTGGGTGGACGTTTCACCATATTGCTTGTACCTGTAAAAAAAAATCCTTTCAGGTCGAGTGCCCTACGAGGCAGCGGCTAGGGGTGGATTAGGGGATTTGGTTTCTAATGACCACAGAATATAAAGCGCTTATTGAAGTTGTTGACTGTCAACCGTATACCGGTTTGTCCTGCTACGACAGTTGTTGCTTCCTGTCTGTACGTGATTGAATATTCTGGTACGCTGTCCCAAAATATGTGTTAAACATTGCGAGTCTGAAATGGCACCCTAGACCCTTTTTACAGCGCGCTACTTTTGACCAGTGGCCGATTTTGGACACACCTATTATGTTCACTTTGTGTGCCAAGCTGCCCAATAAAGAAATGCATTGTCACTGGTGATACTTGATTGTGTTATGTTTTTTTTTAAGTTTTTTTTTCCTATGGTCATCATTAGCTTAGAAATCCCAGTCTTGTCGCGTCCAGTGGAGGAGATTTGGAAGGACGGTAATGCGAGACTATGAGGGTGGTCGACGTACAGGGCTACAGGTGTGGGCAGGGATGCTGCTGTTCTACAGATTGGAAACATTTTTTTTTTTTGTCTGTACGTAAACTTTCAGTAGCATCCTGAGTAAGCATTAGTGCCAGTTTGAATAACACAACCTAGACAAATGTATTTGTTGAATCGAAAGGGTGTGTAGTGTGTACCAACTATATCTCCGCAGGTCCTAGGGTTGTTGACCGCTGTGTTACTGCTTACAAAATAATGGCCTCTTGACTGTCGGACTCGGTGTACAGTCGTCAAAAGTTTTGAATGACACAAATACAAATTCTTCACAAAGTCTGCTGCCTCAGTTTTTATGATGGCAATTTGCATATACTCCAGATTGTTATGAAGAGTGATCAGATGAATTTCAATTAATTGCAAAGTCCCTCTTTACCATGAAAATGAACTTAATCCCCCCCAAAAAAACATTTCCAATGCATTTCAGCCCTGCCACAAAAGGACCAGCTGACATCATGTCAGTGATTCTCTCATTAACACAGGTGAGAGAGTTGACGAGGACGGAGATCACTGTCATGCTGATTTACATTTTAGTCATTTAGCAGACGCTCTTATCCAGAGCGACTTACAGTTTAGTGAGTGCATACATTTTTCAGACTAGCCCCCTGTGGGAATCGAACCCACAACCTTGGCGTTGCAAGCGCCATGCTCTACCAACTGAGCTACAGGAGGCTGATTGAGTTAAAATAACAGACTGGAAGCTTTAAAAGGAGGGTGGTGCTTGAAATCATTGTTCTTCCTCTGTTAACCATGGTTACCTGCAAGGAAACGTGTGCCGTCATCATTGCTTTGCACAAAAAGGGCTTCACAGGCAAGGATATTGCTGCTAGTAAGATTGCACCTAAATCAACCATTTATCGGATCATCAAGAACTTCAAGGAGAGAGGTTCAATTGTTGTGACGAAGGCTTCAGGGCGCCCAAGAAAGTCCAGCAAGCGCCAGGACCGTCTCCTAAAGTTGATTCAGCTGCGGGATCAGGGCATCACCAGTGCAGAGCTTGCTCAGGAATGGCAGCAGGCAGGTGTGAGTGCATCTGCACGCACAGTGAGGCAAAGGCTTTTGGAGGATGGCCTGGTGTCAAGAAGGGCAGCGAGGAAGCCACTTCTCTCCAGGAAAAACATCAGGGACAGACTGATATTCTGCAAAAGGTACAGGGATTGGACTGCTGAGGACTGGGGTAAAGTCATTTTCTCTGATGAATCCCCTTTCCGATTGTTTGGGGCATCCGGAAAAAAGCTTGTCCGGAGAAGACAAGGTGAGCGCTACCATCAGTCCTGTGTCATGCCAACAGTAAAGCATCCTGAGACCATTCATGTGTGGGGTTGCTTCTCAGCCAAGGGAGTGGGCTCACTCACAATTTTGCCTAAGAACACAGCCATGAATAAAGAATGGTACCAACACATCCTCCGAGAGCAACTTCTCCCAACCATCCAAGAACAGTTTGGTGACGAACAATGCCTTTTCCAGCATGATGGAGCACCTTGCCATAAGGCAAAAGTGATAACTAAGTGTCTCGGGGAACAAAACATCAACATTTTGGGTCCATGGCCAGGAAACTCCCCAGACCTTAATCCCATTGAGAACTTGTGGTCAATCCTCAAGAGGCGGCTGGACAAACAAAAACCCACAAATTCTAACAAACTCCAAGCATTGATTATGCAAGAATGGGCTGCCATCAGTCAGGATGTGGCCCAGAAGTTAATTGACAGCATGCCAGGGTGGATTGCAGAGGTCTTGAAAAAGAATGACTCTTTGCATAAACTTAATGTAATTGTCAATAAAAGCCTTTGACACTTATGGAATGCTTGTAATTATACTTCAGTATACCATAGTATCATCTGACAAAAATATCTACAAACACTGAAGCAGCAAACTTTGTGAAGACCAATACTTGTGTCATTCTCAAAACCTTTGACCACGACTATAGTAGTACAGTAGAAAAGATTGCTCTGGTCATTTAGTAGTGGTAGTGTTTTTTGGTGACACTAGATGGCGCCATCGCCCTGTCCCGGTCACAGGGAGTGGTTGGTGACAGTGAAGAAGAGGGATAACTCAGGCCAAAATCTGTTTCCTCTGACAAGGTGCTGGGGTTTTTTCGACTCCCCAGGCGAGGAGTTTTTGTATGGCGGTAAATGAGTGTCGAATTTGGTCAACAAAAAATCTAATGGCATCCAGGCTCTGTCGTAGCCGGCTGCGACCGGGAGACCCATGGGGCGGCGTGCAATTGGCCCAGCGTCGTCCAGGGTAGGGGAGGGAATGGCTGGCAGAGATGTAGCTCAGTTGATAGAGCATGGCGTTTGCAACGTCAGGGTTGTGGGTTCGATTCCCACAGGGGGTATGAAAAAAAAATAATGTATGCACTAACTGTAAGTCGCTCTGGATAAGAGCGTCTGCTAAATGACTAAAATGTAAATGTAAATGTTATTAATGCTTAGGTTAAGTGTACTGCTATAAGTAGGGAATGTGAGAAAAAACACTGTCGGAGTTGTGCCTGTTGTTCACACGTAGGGCTGTGGCGGTCATGACATTTTCTCAGCTGCTGATTGTTAAGCAAATAACTGCCGGTCTCACAGTAACCATTAATTAACAAACATATTTTAGCATCTCCTGGCTTCCACGCATAGCCTACAAGCCGTTGATGCAGACCTTTTGGAACATCTACATTTAAAAAAGTCTAATAAATCCATGTAATATAGCCTACACCATCACAATAAATCCATTATTTATTTTAGACAGGTCTAAAGAAACGTGTTAAGAAGAATGTAGTTATTTCAGAAGAACAGAATAGCATACTTTGAGTCGTCAATATGTTAGGCCCTGATACAGCCAACAAGATGAGTAGGCCTAACGAACAGCCAAAGCACTAGCCATATGTCAATCTACTATCCCCCATAGTACAGAAGTTGACCTATTCTATTCTGTGCAAGAAATAAATATTCCAAACAGTTGTGGGATGCGATTAGATCCCAAATTAATACAACCACGCGCATCAAAAAAAACCTTTAAAGGCAATGAGGCTGATGCAACAGATCAGAACGTTTAGCTTTAAAATGTTATTCGGCTATTTCTTCACATCAGCGCAGCAATGCGCACACGGCAGTAGGCTATAAGCGCGAATGTTCCAAAATGCAATCAATTAGCGGAAAAAAAAAACACTGTTCTGAAGTGACCATAAATGCGATGATGCATGTAACGCTTTATTATAAAAATGCATTGTTATGGTGTAAATGATTGTACCCAAACTTGAAACTCGTGCGCCGCCTATGTATGCCAGATAGACTCTACACCGGTTGTAAAGCGGATTAATGTGCTTAATTTCAAGAAGTTATTTGGCCACTTTAGTTGTGATACAAACCTTATCAAAACATATAGGCCTACGGGCTAGGTTACATGAGGTGTGGGACTATGATTAGAAAAAGTCGCCAAAAAAAGGTATGCATTGCTTCTTGCCTTACGCTGGGCATCATTCACAAGTGATAATAAATCATTCACAAGTGATAGGCTAATATTGTCACCCATCAGACTATTCTTGATTTAATCTTGTCTTTACATATACTAAATAATATATGTGTGAAATTTGTTTTGATTTAGAATGGACCATTATCATGCACCTGTCTCGAAACGGGGAAAAAAAGACATGTCGTCTATGCACTTAAATAGCGAATGGAGGACGCTTTTCCCCTAGTTCATTTTCATGCCAGCCAGGTAGACTAAACTCCTGTTGTAAAGATAAACAATGTGCTTAATATTAGGAAAGTTGAGAAATAAATATAGTAGGACTAGCCTATAGAAAGCTGATGGGATCCTCCTCTTTTTAATAGAGGCCATCAAAACTCTGTTTTCTCATGCAATTGCATAGCCTATAGAAATGTTTCACAACATGAGTGCGTGGGGTCTCATGAATTGTTTGATTTGATTTTTTAAAAACATTTCCATTGATGTCAGAGTGATTAGAGGGACAATAGAGTGCTGAGTACCAGGCAGTTAGCAAGTTTGGTAGGATACTAATGACCAGCAGCAGCATCAGAGCCTGGAGAAGCCTAGTTACCGTGACTAAACAGTCACGTGGAATTTGACTGCGGTCATGACTCGTGACCGCCGGTGTGGCGGTAATAAGATAACTGGAACAGCCCTATTCACACATCTATTTTCCCTATCGTTGACTAGAATGGTCCCACCTGATCTCGCCTCCTCCCGACTTTGAGGACACGTGTATTTCCATTGTTAGTGGCCACTCAACGATCTGGTCCATATCATGGATAATCTATCATGGTGAGCAGGGTTGTGGTCATTTAGATCTATGGTTGGATTAAATCAATTTCAATTCATAAAGTAAACTGAAATTCCAAATTAATTTTTTATGAACAATTATTTTACTTTAAAGATGCACTATGCAGAAATCGCTCCGCCATTTATTTCCTGGTTGCTAAAATTGTAGTAGTTCGCTTAATTTCAGTTTGTTTACAAAACAAGCAAGTGTAGTGTAGAGAATCATTGTACCTTCTAAATCGCTGTGGAATTTATTTTCCATAACCAAAAATATTGTATTTTCATCTGTTTCAAGCTGGTGTACAAAACCGAACGTAAAAGACGCAAAAACAAAACTTAAGAACGGGAAGCATAGAAATAGAACACATAGAACAGATCTACCGCTTCTTAGACTTGCTTTCAATGAGAATTACAGATCTATTATTCACATCTGGCCGTGTGGTGCCAGGACAACAACCTCTCCCTCAACGTGACCAAGACAAAGGAGATGATTGTGGACTACAGGAAAAAAAAGAGGACTGAGCACGCCCCCATTCTCATCGACGGGGCTGTAGTGGAACAGGTTGAGAGCTTCAAGTTCCTTGGTGTCCACATCACCAACGAACTATCATGGTCCAAACACACCAAGACAGTCGTGAAGAGGGCACGACAAAGCCTATTCCCCCTCAGGAGACTAAAAAGATTTGGCATGGGTCCTCAGATCCTCAAAAAATTCTACAGCTGCACCATCGAGAGCATCCTGACTGGTTGCATCACCGCCTGGTATGGCAACTGCTTGGCCTCTGACCGCAAGGCACTACAGAGGGTAGTGCGTACGGCCCAGTACATCACAGGGGCAAAGCTCCCTGCCATCCAGGACCTCTATACCAGGCGGTGTCAGAGGAAGGCCCTCAAAATTGTCAAAGACTCCAGTCACCCTAGTCATAGACTGTTCTCTCTGCTACCGCACGGCAAGCGGTACCGGAGTGCCAAGTCTAGGTCCAAAAGACTTCTCAACAGCTTCTACCCCCAAGCCATAAGACTCCTGAACAGCTAATCATGGCTACCCGGACTATTTGCACTGCCCCCCCCACCCCATACTTTTTACGCTGCTGCTACTCTGTTAAGTATTTATGCATAGTCACTTTAACTCTACCCACATGTACATATTACCTCAACTACCTCAACTAGCCGGTGCCCCCGCACATTGACTATGCAACGGTACCCCCCTGTATATATAGCCTCCCTACTGTCACTTTATTCTATTGTATATATAGCCTCCCTACTGTCACTTTATTTTTTACTTCTGCTCTTTTTTTCTCAACACTTTTTTTGTTGTTGTTTTATTCTTACTTTTTTTGTTTAAAATAAATGCACTGTTGGTTAAGGGCTGTAAGTAAGCATTTCACTGTAATGTCTGCACCTGTTGTATTCGGCGCATGTGACCAATAAAATTTGATTTGATTTGATTTGATTTGATTTCTATGTGAATTTGGTCGGCTCACCCAAAAAGTTACACATTCAACTTTATTTTATAAAGCCCATTTTACATCAACAGTTGTCACAAAGTGCTTATACAGATACCCTGCCTAAAACCCCAAAGAGCAGGCAATGCAGATGCAGAAGCACAGAAATTAAATTGACCCCAATCCAGAGTGGTATAGAGCCCCACAGTGGAGGTGTCATAATACACATAAAACCTAGCGGTCAAACAGGGAAATGGTTCCAATCGTTTTTCCACCATTCATTTTCCCCATAGGGGATTTTAGAAACACTTAAAATAAGGGCTGTGTTTCGTGTAGGCTTACCTTGGCGTGACGTTTTGATAACCATATAAATCTCTCAGACAAGGTGACTTTTATCAATACATTCAGCTCTCAGATTCGAAAATGCTAATTAGCATCAAAGTAGGCTCCTGCATGTCATCTCTAGCTGACACCTTTGCTAACAGGTATTGTGTCAACTTAAAACTTGCCCAAGACAGTTCACAGAATTGTCAATTTTAAGAAATGTAACCAATTTATTCATTACAAAATTTAGCTAACATTAGATCGTTAATCCAGAGATTCTTACCTTTGCCTCGATCCGGCAGTCTCGTCCAGATCATCATGGCATTTGTAGTTCTTAATGATAGCCACATTAGCAGCTAATTAGCATTTCATGTTTGGGGGGGTAAATACACGCAAATATATTGATAAAAGTCACCTTGTCCTAGAGAGATTTACACGGTTATCTAAACGTCACGCCAGGGTAAGCCTACAGGAAACACAGCCCTTATTTTAAGTGTTTCAAAAATTTTGAAAAAACGATTGGAACCATTTCCTTATTTGACTGCTAGGTTTTATGGGTATTATGACTCATACTGTGGTACTCTATACCACAGATGGAACAATGAGCCACGTTTCACCCGATGTATAAATCTGATGCATCCGGTTGGTGATGAGAAGAAGCCCAGTGGGAGAAGATGGAGCGAGATGGATTTTGGTCAAATTCTGCACATTTTTCTCATCGATGAAACATTTGATCTCAATACAGTTTTCTGTTCCCAAAACTAGAATCTGTTACGAACAGAGTGGACAAAGTTTTGTATACTTTGACCATTGCCAAAGTAAAAATTTTTTGCGTTGTTTAGGAGTGCAAGACCGAATTGAGTTACAGCACATGCACACTTCAAAGTGGGCGTTCCCAAATGGAAATATGCAAATACATGCTACAATGCACCAATAGGATCTCGCTAGCTCGTGCTTGGCTCTGCCCACCTCCTTGCTTGTTCTGTCCTCTATGATTAATTTGCTCCCATTGGAAACGACAGGATATGGTCTATCATGGGTTAGTTATGAAAATCTTTGGGTATACTACGAAGCAAGCTAGATCTACTCAGGCTTTTATAAAGCTAGCCAACTTCAGTTAGCTTCACATTCCAGCTCAGGATTCTTCTGTATTACTATGATGGATGGATATTGCTCGTCCGCCTACCGAAACAGTTTGCACATATATTATGGCAAAATATTGTGAGATTTTTGTTCGCTTTGGTGTTTGGCAGCATTTGGCAGGGGTTTTTCCGGCTGTTCGAGCACACACATTTTTTTTCTTGAGGTTAGTCGAAATTCGGTAGCCGAAGTCTACGCCCCTTTGTCGGTGATTGGTCAAAAGTTAGGGATTCTTCAATTAAGTGTTTGTTGTCATTCTTTGAGAGAAGACTAGTTTCATGCACGTTTTTTCACTTGAGAAATACTGCACCAAACATCCATAATTCCTTCAATTCTGACCAGTTTCCCAGTCCCTGCCGATGAAAAACATCCCCACAGCATGATGCTGCCACCACCATGCTTCACTGTGGGGGTGGCGTTCTCGGGGTGATGAGAGGTGTTGGGTTTGCGCCAGACATAGCGTTTTCCTTGATGGCCAAAAAGCTCAATTTTAGCCTCATCTGACCAGAGTACCTTCTTCCATATTTTTGGGGAGTCTCCCACATGCCTTTTGGCGAACACCAAACGTGTTTGCCTATTTTTTTCTTCAAGCAATGGCTTTTTGTCTGGCCACTTTTCCGTAAAGCCCAGCTCTGTGGAGTGTACGGCTTAAAGAGGTCCTATGGACATATACTCTAATCTCCGCTGTGGAGCTTTGCAGCTCCTTCAGGGTTATCTTTGGTGTCTTTGTTGCCTCTCTGATTAATGCCCTCCTTGCCTGGTCTGTGAGTTTTGGTGGGCGGTCCTCTCTTGGCAGGTTTGTTGTGGTGCCATATTCTTTCCATTTTTTAATAATGGATTTAAATGGTGCTCCGTGGGATGTTCAAAGTTTCGCATATTTTTTTATAACCCAACCGTAATCTGTACTTCTCCACAACTTTGTCCCTGACCTGTTTGGAGAGCTCCTTGGTCTTCATGGTGCCGTTTGCTTGGTGGTGCCCCTTGCTTAGTGGTGTTGCAGACTCTGGCGCCTTTCAGAACAGGTGTATATTTACTGAGATCATGTGACAGATCATGTGACACTTAGATTGCACACAGGTGGACTTTATTTAACTAATTATGTGACTTCTGAAGGTAATTGGTTGCACCAGATCTTATTTAGGGGCTTCATAGCAAAGGGGGTGAATACATATGCACGCACCACTTTTCCGTTATTAATTTTTTAGAATTCTTTTAAACAAGTAATTTTTTTCATTCCACTTCACCAATTTGGACTATTTTGTGTATGTCCATTACATGAAATCCAAATAAAAATCAATTTAAATTATAGGTTGTAATACAACAAAATAGGAAAAACGCCAAGGTGGATGAATAATTTTGCAAGGCACTGTACAGGGAAATTCTTGAGGGAAACCTGTTTCAGTCTTCCAGAGATTTGAGACTGGGACGGAGGTTCACCTTCCAGCAGGACAATGACCCTAAGCATACTGCTAAAGCAACACTTGAGAGGTTTAAGGGGAAACATTTAAATGTCTTGGAATGGCCTAGTCAAAGTCCAGACCTCAATCCAATTGAGAATCTGTGGTATGACTTAAAGATTGCTGTACACCAGCGGAACCCATCCAACTTGAAGGAGCTGGAGCAGTTTTGCCTTGAAGAATGGGCAAAAATCCCAGTGGCTAGATGTGCCAAGCTTATAGAGACATACCCCAAGAGACTTGCAGCTGTAATTGCTGCAAAAGGTGGCTCTACAAAGTATTGACTTTGGGGGGGTGAATAGTTATGCATGCTCAAGTTTTCAGTTTTATTGTCTTATTTCTTGTTTGTTTCACAAAAAACTCTGAATTATCCCAACTGTTACACCGAGAAGGTTTATCGACGGCGAGTTTTCTGGAAAATTGCCCTTTTAGTCCTCATGCTAGGTAGCACAAGCCACAGCAGCCATTTTGGAATGGCTGTGTTAGCCGCATTCAGCAGGCTACGGTGTGAAATTAATATGCTTTTAGAAGTGCCGTCTTCTATTTTATGACTTATCGTTAATGCCGTCTTTGGTGTGCTTAGCAATGCACAAGCACCCTTTCCCCCCCCCACTCCTATTGCTCCTTCTGTGGAACAGCTTGTTGCGTTGTGGTGGCGATAGACATATAATCCATAGAAGGGTTTTGAAACCTCTAACCCAGGCAATTTGACTGTTAAACTCATGGGTACGCTAGCAATGGCCGACGGTCTTGACTTGAATGGGAACTGCCATCTATGAATTATATGTCTATGGTTGGTTCTGCCTGTCAGTTTTGCACACTCTTGGCATTCTCTCAACCAGCTTCACCTGGAATGCTTTTTCCAACAGTCTTGAAGGAGTTCCCACATATGCTGAGCACTTGTTGGCTGCCTTTTTCTTCACTCTGCGGTCCGACTCATCCCAAACCATTGTGGAGGCCAGGTCATCTGATGCAGCACTCCATCACTCTCCTGGTTATAAGGTGAGCCACTTTTGTGATACCGGTGTCCTGAGTTCAACTCAAGAGTTGACCAAAGTTACCTCGCTAACTCCTCAAACCGGATTTTCTCTGGTGGAGAGAGACAGGTTTTCTGGCCCTAAAGGGCGGTGTTGAGCTGTGCTTGATAACAGGTAGACTACTGTGGATCTACAGGCTTCAATGCGTCCCAAACGGCACCATATTGACCACCCTATTCCCTATATAGTGTACTACTTTTGATGAGGGCTCATAGGGCACAGTGGTCAAAAGTAGTGCACTATATAGGGAATAGGGTGCCATTTGGGGGACACTGTCTGAATGTACAGAATGTTCTTCTGTGATGCTTTCAGTCCTATAATCTCTGTTCATTGTGAATCTGCATTCTGGTGAGCTGTTGACGTTTTAAGAAAGTCTGATCAACATGTCCTCAAGTGGACGTTTTCCTCTTATTGTAGAAACCACACCATGTGTTAGCGTCTACACAGTGCTGTGCCTTAGACCGCTGCGCCACTCGGGACTCACTTCGACGTACTTCTGACTCATTGTACACAGTTTAAGCTAGAAACGTAATGCAAACTTTAAAACATGTAGACTGGTCTGGAGCAGTGTGCTTGTATATAACTTTTTGATATCTTTTATACTTTTTAAACTATTATGCTTTATGTACTTTTTTGTCCATCTTTTCATTCACTTTCATGGGATTTCTTCAACATTATAAAGGTGACATCGTGACACCATTGTGACGTCATGACTTCCAACATTCCATTCACTGTGAATGCAACAATGAAATGTTTTACACAAATCAGCTACTTTGGAAACTTTCCCAACAAGTTAGACAAAATGTTCGTGTATGAAATCCTCCTCTACTTTTCTGCTATTCAAATCTGAAATCACAACAAAAATATGTTATACCAATCAAAAGTTACAGCTGTTTTTCAGAGTTTGTAATGATGAAAAGTAGCTAACTAACATCAGCTAAACGCTCTCTCATGTCTCGTCCTTGAGCAGCCCGAGCCATTGCTATGAGGTGAGTAACCATTGTGACATCACAACTTCCAACATTCCATTCACTGTGAATGCAACAATGTAACTTTTGACACAAATCAGCTACTTTTACCACAAGTTAGACAAAATGTTAGTGTTTGAACTCGTTCTCTACTTCTCTGCTATTCAAATCTGAAATCACAACTTAAATATCTTCTATCAATCGAACGTTACAGCTGTGTTAGTAACCGCATTACAAACAACTACCACTTTTCACCACTTTCCCAACAAGTTGGATGAAAACCGTAGAGCTTATGAAATCTTCCTCCACTTCTTTGCTATTTAAATCAGAAGTCATAATATATTCTACCAATCAAATGTTACAGCTGTTTGTCAGAGTTTAGAGTGATGAAAAGTAGCTAGCTAACGTCAGCTAACCGCTCTCTCATGTAGCTCAGCTACCTCTGTAGCTCAGCTGGTAGAGCATGGCGCTTGTAACGCCAGGGTAGTGGGTTCGATCCCCGGGACCACCCATACGTAAAAATGTATGCACGCATGACTGTAAGTCGCTTTGGATAAAAGCGTCTGTTAAATGGCATATTATTATTATTATTATTATTATTATTATTATTCAGGAGGATGTTAGAGGAGGGCCTTTTTACTGAAGAATATTTTTGTTTCATATGATTGTGTTTTGCTTTTCGTGTTTTGTGTTTGCTTTTCATGTAGACGGATTGTGTTAATTGAAGTGGGTTCGATTCCCATGGGGGGACCAGTATAAAATAGTACAAAAATGTATGCACACATCTACTATAAGTTGCTCTGGATAAGAGTGTCTGCTAAATGACTCAAATGTGAAAATGTGAAAATGATAGATTGTCAAGAAATGATTACTGAACATGCTTTCTTATCTCCTCATTACATACCCAATGTTACCTTTCTTGTGGTGATATTAGAAAGAAGCCAGTTGAATATGGATTATCATCTCAATTCACACTATAGATGATCCCAGGCATATATGTATACAGTGCCTTCAGAAAGGAGTTGAATACTTAATGACTCAAGACATTTCAGCTTTAGATTTTTAATTATTATAATTTTTCTTCTAAAAACAGACTTCCCACTTTTGGCATTATGGGTTATTGACATTTTCCACATTTTGTTGTTACAGCCTGAGTTAAAAGTTGATTTAATTGAGATGTTGTGTCACTGGCCTACACACAATAACCCATAATGCCAAAGTGGAATTATGTTTTTTAGAAATGTGTACAAATTAAATAAAAATGTAAAAGCTGAAATGTCTTGCGTTAATAGGTTTTCACCCCCTTTGTTATGGCAAGCCTAAAAAAAAAAATCAGGAGTAAACATTTGCTTAACAAGTCACATAATAATTTGCATGGACTCACTATGTGTGCAATACTAGTGTTTAACATGATTTTTGAATGACAACCTCATCTCTGTACACTACACATACAGCAATACTGTAGAGCAGTGAATTCCAAACACCGGTTAAACCACAAAGACCAGGGAGGTTTTCCAATGCCTCGCAAAGAAGGGCACCTATTGGTGACCTTTAAAAAAAAAAAAAAAAAAGCAGACGATGAATATCCTTTTGAGTATGGTGAAGTTATTAATTACACTTTGGATGGTGTATCAATATACCCAGTCACTACAAAGATACAGTCGTCCTTCCTAACTCAGTTGCCGGAGAGGAAGGAAACCGCTCAGGGATTACACCATGACGCCAATGATGACTGTAAAACATTTACAGAGTTTAATGGCTGTGATGGGAGAAAATTGACGATGGATCAGCAACATTGTAGTTATTCTGCAATACTAACCTAATTGACAGAGTGAAAAGAAGGAAGCCTGTACACAATAAATATATTCCAAAACATGCATCCTGTTTGCAACAAGGCACTAAAGTAGCCCTGCAAAACATATGGCAAAGCAATTCACTTTTAGTCCTGAATACAAAGTGTTATGTTTGGGGCAAATACAATACCACTCTCCATATTTTCAAGCATAGTGGTGGCTGCATCATGTTATGGCTATGCTTGTAATTGTTAAGGACTGGGGAGTTTTACAGGATAAATAAGAAACGGAATGGAGCTAAGCTCAGGCAAAATCCTAGAGGAAAACCTGGTTCAGTCTGCTTTCCACCAGACACTGGGAGATGAATTCACCTTTCAGCAGGACAATAACCTAAAACACAAGGCCAAATCTACACTGGAGTTGCTTACCAAGAAGACAGTGAATGTTCCTGAGTGGCCGAGTTACAGTTTTGACTTAAATCGGCTTGAAAATCTATGGCAAGACCTAGCAATAATCAACAACCAATTTGACAGCTTAAAGAATAATGGGCAAATGTTGCACTATCCGGGTGTGGAAAGCTCTCAGAGACTTACCCAGAAAGACTCACAGCTGTGATCGCTGCCAAAGGTGCTTCTACAAAGTATTGACTCAGGGGTGTGAGCACTTATGTAAATTCATATATTTCTGTATTTCATTTTAAATAAATTTACACATTTCTAAAAACATATTTTCACTTTGTGGGGTATTGTGTGTAGATGGGTGAGAGAATTTTTTTTTTAAATCCATTTTGAATTCAGGCTGTAACACAACAAATTATGGAATAAGTCAAGGGGTATGAATACTTTCTGAAGGCACTGTATATGGAAGTAGTTTAGTGCAACAAAAAAAAATGGCTTAAAATGTGGGTCAAAAATACTACAAATAATTTCCTGAGCTTTCATATGTCTCTCAGATATAGGACATTTAAAAACAAACTTCCATTTGATTTATTTCTTCGACTATCTGTTTTGCCATGTATGATTATGTTATTCAATGTGTTTCTATGGGCTAATAGCAGTAAGGCCAAATTCAATGTTTTATCAATAAAAAAAATAAAAGTATTTCATTATACCTACAGCGGTCGTAAAATTCAAAATCAAATAGCTAAATGATCCTCGGTATGACCATCTTAAAACAATTCCATATGTTAGCTTATTAGAAACCCAGCCCTGGGCCTTTAAACCTTTGGTCGTTTTATGTAGTTATATAAATAAACAAACTGAGTGAGTAAAACCAAAAAGGGGCACAAACAAAACTAGAGCTAGTGGGCAATGGCAGCGGACAAACAAATCTGGTTGCCACGGCAACGGCTCAGCAGCAGAACAGAGGTGCCACAGGCACCATTTCCCCCCACCTCCCCCCCACCTCCCCCTCATCACGGAGTCTTTCTCTATTCCCCCCACCTCCCCCTCATCACGGAGTCTTTCTCTATTCCCCCCACCTCCCCCTCATCACGGAGTCCTTCTCTATTCCCCCCAGAGGCCAAAAAAAATCACACAATGAGGAAAGCTTGTAAACAATAACTACTGAAGGAGAGGCCAGAAACCCTTTTTCGCAGACCTCTACAAAAATTGGTGATGTGAGTAATCCCATCTCTTTCACTGACCAGCCAAATGGATGGCGCTCAGCAGTCAGCTCTCACTACCCGTCCGTAAAGAAAGAGGGAGTCTGCAATGGGTGGAAGCTGAAAGTCAGAGAGGTAGCTGGACGACCCAGACAGCACCATGATAAAAAATCCACCTCTACAAGAATGACATCTTTTCCAACTTTTTACATACAGCTAATATTCTGACCACTTTCCCAACAAGTTCAACAAAAAAGTTAGAGCATATGAAATCTTCCTCTACTTCTCTGCTAAATATATTCTACCAATCAAATCATATCTAAATATATTCTACCAATCAAATCATATCTAAATATATTCTACCAATCAAATCATATCTAAATATATTCTACCAATCAAATCATATCTAAATATATTCTACCAATCAAATAATTTCTGCTGTTTGAGTAACTGGACCAACTTATTTTCTTCATAACTTTTTGAAACGACTGCAAGTTAAACGAAACATTTCAGAATATTAAATTGTTCTCTACTTATCTGCTATTCAAATCTAAAATCAGAACAGTTCTTCCACTACCACAAAAATACTTGTAAAGAATGAAAGCAGGCCCCACAACTTTACTTCATGTAAAGTTACCATCTAGTTATGATTAGTCTGGGATTGGAAAAAGTCATGGTGTCTGCTCTTCGTTCATACAAACACACACTCTCCCAAATCTGGAGTGGGTGGACGTCTCTTCCTGACCAACATCTGACTTCATATTTGATACCGCTATTAGACAGCTGTGGCCTAATTTCGCCGACACACACACAGCTGACCAGCGTATGGCTGCGGAAATTACATGGTCCAAAAGCCTTTAGTTCATGGGAATAGCAGAGGATTCCATGAGTAAAGACTTACTCCTTTCTATGTCCCCCCTCCCTCCTCTCCTCTCCTCCCCCTTTATCTCCTCCCCTCCCTTCCCCTCTCTTCTCCTTTCCTCTCCTCTCCTCTCTCTTTCTCTCCTCTCCCTCCTCTCCTCTCCTCCCCCTTTCTCTTCCTTCTCTCCTCCCCCTTTCGCTCTCTCTTTCCTCTCCTCTCTTCTCTCTCCTCTCTCATCTCTCCCTCCACATTTCCCTCTATTCTCTCTAGGGGTAATGAAAGATTGGAGAGCCTTCGATAGAGAGAAATCCCTGGGGACAGATAGAGAGAGGCATGCTATAGAACGCTCATGAAATTGTTGGCATTGAAAATGCATGAACCGTAATGATGGTTAGGCAAGCTATAGGGAGTGCAGACGGAATTGAAGGAATTGGAATTGATCCCCGCCCCACTCCGACCGACACACACACACACACACACACACACACACACACACACACACACACACACACACACGTTGTGATGCAATACCAATAATGTGCTTTGACAGACCCTTCAGAAAGTATTCATACCCCTTGACTTATTCAACATTTTGTTGTTACAGCCTGAATTCAAAATGTATTAAATAAAATAAAAAAATGAAATACAGAAATGTCTAATTTACATAAGTATTCACACCCCTGAGTCAATACTTTGTAGAATCACCTTTGGCAGCGATTACAGCTGTGAGTCTTTCTGGGTAAGTCTCTAAGAGCTTTCCACAACAGGATTATGCAACATTTGCACACTATTCTTTAAAGAAATTCTTCAAACTCTGTCAAATTGGTTATTGATCATTGCTAGACAACCATTTTAAGGTCTTGACATAGATTTTCAAGCAGATTTACGTCAAAACTGTAACTTGGCCACTCAGGGAAATGTACTGTCTTCTTGGTAAGCAACTCCAGTGTAGATTTGGCCTTGTCTTTTAGGTTATTGTCCTGTTGAAAGGTGAATTCATCTCCCAGTGTCTGGAGGAAAGCAGACTGAACCAGGTTTTCCTCTAGGATTTTGCCTGAGCTTAGCTCTATTCTGTTTCTTTTTTATCCTGAAAAACTCCCCAGTCCTTAACAATTACAAGCATACCCATAACATGCTGCAGCCACCACTATGCTTGAACATATGGAGAGTGGTACTCAGTAATGCGTTGTATTGGATTTGCCATAAACATAACACTTTGTACTTAAGACAAAAAGTGAATTGTTTTGCCACATTTTTTGCAGTATTACTTTAGTGCCTTGTTGCAAACAGGTTGCATGTTTTGGAATATATTTTTTTGATACAGGCTTCCTTATTTTCACTCTATCAATTAGGTTAGTATTGTGGAGTAACTACAATGTTGTTGATCCATCGTCAGTTTTCTCCTATCACAGGCATTAAACTCTTTAACTGTTTTAAAGTCACCATTGGCCCAGGGACCTTCAGATAATTGTATGTTTGGGGTACAGAGATGAGGTAGTCATTCAAAAATCAGGTTAAACACTATTATTGCACACAGAGTGAGTCCATGCAACTCATTATGTGACTTGTTATGCAGATTTTTTCTTTTTTTTTTCTTTCTTTGCCTTAACAAAGGGTTTGAATACTTACTGACTCAAGACATTTCAGCTTTACATTTTTTATTAATTTGTAAAAATGTCTAAAAACATCATTCTCAATTTAATCCATTTAAAAAAAAGTAATTCAGTCTGCAACACAACCAAATTTGGGAAAAAAAGTCAAGGGGTGTGACTTTCTGAAGACACTGTATGTCTGGCCTTGGTTAATGTTTTGAATACGTTGAGTTATGATTAAGCAGCTGGTTTGATCAGTAAACCTCCAACCAAGGAGAAGAGAAAGACATATGTGGGTGTGGGTGTGGGTGTGTGTGTGTGTGTGTGTGTGTGTGTGTGTGTGTGATTGTGTGTGTGTGTGTGTGTGTGTGTGTTTTAATGTGCATGTGCTTGCAGGATAGGAATTCATAGAACTTGTCTTAAGTGATGGTTGCTGAGATGAGATGTGTGTATTTATGTGGAAAGAACGACAGCGACAAGAAGTCAGTGGAGCGGTACACTGTAGGTACAGACAGAGGAGCTCATGTATAAATAGCATGTAGTGTGATGTAGATGGATATTTGAGAGAAGAGAGAGGGCAGGGGAGGGAGGAAAAGAAATGAGTGATGGAGACTAGAGAGATGGCTGGAGAGGAAGGAGGGATGGAGAGGAGTGGAGATGGAGAGGAATTGGAGATGGGGGTTGGAGACGATATGGAGAGAAAGGGAAGAGAGGAGGGGTTGATAGGAATTGGAGATTTGTTTGGAGACTCTAGTTCTGACGCCGATATGATGGGTTTTGGCATGGAAGTTTCATGCTAGTAGTGGTTGTGGTCGTGAGCTTGCGCGATTAGGGTTAGCGCTGAGGAGTTTGGTATAGTGAGCTTTTGAGTGACGAGCCTTGTCTTATTGGTTATCGGAGATGTGAGCATCAGGTTCGAGGTCGAGGAGGGCTTGGACGGCAAGTGGAGATGGTAGAGGAGGAGATATTAATAAAACAATATAATACCAGAAGAAAGTGATTTGTAAACTCTCTCCTCAGCCTGAAACGTGTCCACTCGCATCGCCAAATTGCTAGCTTTTCGGTGGCAAGACTGTGTAAGAGCGTTTCAGTTGGGGGGTGGGGGTTACCTGTGTTTACGAGGCAGAGGTCCGGGGTTCTAGTCTTGGTGTGGGCTGGAGCGGGAGGAAGTCGACGTTCATCACAAAAGCAGTATGGAGGTAAACTGCACCCTGCCTTCCAGAGGAGCTCCTTTTAACAGCGCTGATAAGTCATCAGTGTATTTGCACCTCCAGGAAACACCTGTGTTTTCCTTCTTTAGTGTCTCTGAGTTTCAGTGTTCAGAGCCTTTCTTCTGTCATCATAACCTGTTTTATACTCATAATGGTGTTTCATATCATAACCTATATATTCTTTAGTTAGTCATAATGGTTGGGTTTTATGTGAAACCTGTTGCGCGTGTGTGCCTGTGTGGTTTCACATCATCACCGACTTTAACTGCGAAGTTAGTCATAGTTGACGCCCTTGATAAAGATGACTGCTGTTTGATGAGCCAGGAACAGCAGCGTCGCTGTTTGATGAGCCAGGAACAGCAGCGTCGCTGTTTGATGAGCCAGGAACAGCAGCGTCGCTGTTTGATGAGCCAGGAACAGCAGCGTCGCTGTTTGATGAGCCAGGAACAGCAGCGTCGCTGTTTGATGAGCGGAACAGCGCGTCCGTTTGAAAGAGCCGGAAAAGCGCGTCGCTGTTTGATGGCCGGGAAAACAGGGCGC